GGAGGGCATTTCTATTTTTATATCTTTTATGCAATTTTTTTGAGGTAGCCAACCATATTTATGTTCTGTCATTCCCCTGAATAATCACTTACCAGTTGCTCCAACTGTGCTGATGCTTATTTTACTTACTTTTGGTAAAAATTAGAATTCTTTGTCTTTTTCACATTTCACCACTTAAGTCAAAATATATCACTTAAACTTGAAAAATCATGTAACAGATACAAAAGAACATTTAACATTTTGAAAGTAAACATTAAGAATAGTAATGTGATGAGATAATAGAGTTGAGTGGGGAAGAAAAGTAAGTAATTTACAATTGTTTATAGTAAGGAATGAATAGGTATTGTCAAAAAAGAGACTGGAAAGACAAATTCCATAGTAGTATCTTACGTGGAATCTAAAACATGAATGAACAAACAAACAAACAAAAACAAGCTCATAAATACAGAGAACAGATTGCATATTGGTGGTTCCCAGAGGCGGAAAGAGGGCAAAATGGGTGAAGCTGGTCAAAAGGTACAAATTCCTAGTTATAAAAGAAATAAGTCATGGAGATACAATGTACAATAGTGTGACTACAGTTAATGATAGTATATTGTGTATTTTGAAAGTTACTAAGAGTTCTTATCACTAGAAAACAAATCTGTAACTATGTATGGTGACAGATGTTAACTAGACTTATTGTGGTGATCATTTCACAATATATACAAATATCAGATCATTATGTTGTACACCTACGGGTAAAAAAAAAGGAAAATCACTGTTTAATTTTATGAGATCATAAAATGTTAAAGGATTATTTGTATATCTGGTTGAAAAAATCTACATAAAACAAATTAAGACATGGCTTTGGGAATGCTACTGCTTTTGGGTTCCAGGATGCTGAAAGGCAATGATGTAGGTAATTTCCTGTTTATTGTTTAAAACAAAACAGACAAAACTTACCCATTATATTAGCAAATGTAAAAACTTAAAATATTTCATTTCCACAAAGGTGGGGTAAGATGGTGGTATAGAACTGTCTCAGCCTTTCTGAAAAAATAACTTGGCAACCCTCATGAAGAACTGCCACTAAGTTGTTAACCCTTTGGCCCAGTACTTTTTCTTCGAATCTGTCCATCCTAAAGAAATCAGCAGGAATCTGGACAAGAATTTATATAAAAAGACATTTATTTCAATAGTATCTGTAATTGCTATATATACAAATATCAAATCATTATGTTGTACACCTAAGGAAAAATAAAGGGAAAATCCCTGTTTAATTTTATGAGGTATAAAAAGTTAAAGGATTATCTGTGTATCTGGTTGAAAAAATCTACATAAAACAAATTAAGACATGGCTTTGGATTCATCCACAATTGGATTCATCCTAACTATCCAAAAGTGGATAAAGTGATTGAGTAAATTACTTCATATAGGGAATTTATGCAGCCCTTCCAATGTTTTTGGAATAAAATTCAATGATGTAGATAAATGTTTATAGTATTTTTTAAATGTAGGATACAAAATCATGTGTAAGGGGGTAATGCCAATTCTGTAAATATATGCATGGAAAGAAGAAGGGATGGATATATAATAAAAATTTAAAAGTAATGAGATTTCAATATCTCTATAAATATAATAGAATTTGTAATAAAAACATTTAAAAAGCTTTGGGAGGCTTACAGTGACCAAAAAGGAAAATGTAGATATTTAGAGTAGTTTTTAATACTCTAAAGAAAGTCTTCAAATATTTTCAGTCTTGTTAGCTTTTAGGAAAGATTTTTTGAGAATGCACCCTGAATATGAATATATTACTTGTGAATTCTATGCATTTAGTCACGTACTAGTATATTAAGTGCATTATAAAACCTTAGACAAAAATCTAAGAATATCTCAATATAAATAGAAGTATACATGTCTACTCTTTGACCTCAATAATTTATTTTGTGTAGTTCCTGATTGCTCCCAGTCCAGTTATGAGAGTTAGATCTCAAAGAAATGATAGGAAAATGAATAAAACACACCATTTCTACTTTTACAGGAATAATTTATAGCTAACCTATTTTGCTCTCTTAAAATAGGGCATAGGATGCAACATTTGAGCGAAGGAGCCAAGGGTCAGCAAGTGGGAAGTGGAGGTGATGGAGAGCGCTGGGGTTCAGACAGAGGGACAAGAGGCAGCCTCAATGAGCAGATTGCTCTTGTGATCATGCGACTTCAAGAGGACATGCAGAATGTCCTTCAGAGACTTCATAAACTGGAAACACTAACAGCTTCGCAGGTAAGTTTCCAAATTTGTCTTCTGCTTGTTGGTCCTTTAAAACAGTGTATAATCTGTATTGATCAGATTTACAGAAATCAATGTATTTTAGTGATTTAAAAAAAAATGGGCCCTGGCTGGCATGGTTCAGTGGTTAGAGTGTTGACCTGTGTACCGGAGGGTCAAGGGTTGGATTCCCGGTCAAGGGCACGTACCTGGGCTGCAGGTTCAATCCTCTGCTCAGTTGGGGTACGTATGAGAGGCAACTAATGGATGTGTCTCTCTCACATTGATGTTTCTCTCTCCCTCTCTTTCTCTCTCTCCCCTCCTCCCCACCTCTTTTCCACCCTCTCTAAAAAATATCCTCTGGTGAGGATTAACAATAATAAATAAATAAATAAATAAATAAATAAATAAATAAATAAATAAATAATAAATGCAGTAGGACCTATTTTTGAAAATATTACTTAAACCTGACCCAAAAGCTAAATGCCAGTTAAAATAATAGAAACATTTTAGTGTAAAATTAGCAGTACCATTTTGGAGGAAGGAGTAGGTTGCTTGGTGGTAGAAGAATAAGATCTTTTAAATAGTTTAATTCAAGGAACTAATAAATAGACCATACCTAGTGCCCTAGAGTTGATCATTAAAGAGTCATACTTATACTTTTGTAGTAAGCATTGTCCTCTGTCTCGACTTCTTTTAAAAATGCTGTAGAGATAATATGTTAAGTTACTGATTCTTGAGCGTAAATTAGTTTTAGGATCAAAACCTGAAAGCCAAAGAGTCCTGTGGAGTTACAGTTTAACCTCTGCTGTCATTTGACCCTGGAAGATCAAGGGTGTTAAACCTTTGAAAAGGCAGAACAGCTAGTCAGTCGTAGGAACTCAAACAGAACCTGGATGCTCTGAATCCCAGGGCAGTGCTCTTTCTACTTGGCAGATTGCTGTCCTGTACTGAGGGACACTGGACAGCGGGATATGGAGCAGGTCCTGAGAGAAAAGGAAAAGGCATCATGGGAAGGGGCAGTTCCTCTTGGTTCAGTTTTGACCGGGCTGTGATACCCCGTGGACGCAGCTGCAGAGCTTTCAGGCAGCTCCTAGTGCTCTGCCTCACTTGTCCCCCGCCTTGTGCCTCCTTGAGTCACACTGGCTGGAAGAAAGAGTGAGGCAGCCAGCCTCGGTGTCTGGCCTGGCTTCCGACGTGGTACAGCCTCAAAGCATCTTGCTGTACCTGATGCTAAGAAGAATTTGTAGGGATTAATCAAAGAAGATGTGCTTCCATTACAAGATGAACACATTAAATGTAGATTTATGTAAAGAAACTAATACTGCCCGGCTGGAGTGGCTCAGTTCGCTGAGCTTGTCTTATGCACTGAAAAGGTCACAGGTTCGATTCCTGATTAGGACACATACCTGGGTGCTGGGTTTGTTTTCTAGCCGGAGCACATATGGAAGGCAACTGATTGGTGTTTCCTCTCACATCAGTGTTTTTCTCTCTCTCCCCGCCCTCCTCTCTTTAAGCATGTTGTTCAGTGAGGATTAAAAAAAAGGAGTCCTTGTCTTTTTTTTTTTTTAAATCTGACGCATTAAGGACTTTCCCCCTTAAAATTTGCGTAATTCATTTGTATGAATAAAAGTTTGTATAAATAAAAAATAAATTGATAATAATATAGCGGTAGATTATAGAACCAAAGGAAACTTCTTAGTTCGGTACCCTTAGTCCAGCAGACGAAGAAGCTGAGCTACTGAGAGCACACCTTAACTAGCAACATGCCAGCTCTGTAACTCCAGTTAATTGATTTCTCATGCAGTATACTTTCCACATCAGTAAGCTGCCTGAGGCATATTAATTTTTTGTATAAATTCATTCACTAAATAAATATTTGTTGAATAGTCACATAGATTATTTTCTAGGCAACAGACACAAAAGTGAAAAGGGAGATAGCATAGTGTGGCAAACCTTCAAGAAAACTACCCAAGTTCAGATTCTAGCTTTGCCACTTACTGTGTAATCTTGGGTCAGGTTACTTAACCTCTCTGTGCTTCATTTTTCTTATCTATTAAAAGAAAATATTAATGCTTACCTCATAAGCTTACTCAGAGGGTAAAATAGAATGCTTAATATAGTACCTGGAACATAGTAAGTTAAGCACTGAAGTATTTTACATGAAACAATGGTAACAACAATGATGGGAAAATAGCTCGGTTTTTCCCCTCAGGAAGTTCACAGCCTTAGGGAGGACCTAACTTAATAATTTTTTGTATTTTCTTTGCAGTGGTTACTATTACAGGAGATTTTTCTCTTCAAAATAATTTTCCAAAAAATTCAGTAATCCTTATTTTAATGTACCAATAGAATAATACTAGAATTTCTAAATATCTAAAAGCTACATAAAAGCTACTTGATATTGACAAAGGTTTGTTACTTGACTAAACTTTAGGCTCCTGAACCTTCTCTTAGGTCTATCTGTTCACTTTTTCATTTATTTATTTATTTATTTATTTATTTATTTATTTATTATTTATTTAATATTTTGAGAATACGTTTATTGAAGCTGGGGACAGTGAAACAAGGAAGGGCTTAGGATGGAAGAAGCAACAGGAGAGAGACTAGGTAGGCAGGGCTGCTTTGGCTCTCTAGAAATGTTATGGAAAAGAAGTGAGCTAAGGCAGGGCTGCTGTCAGCTCACTGGGGAGTCAGAGAAGGGGGAGCCTTGGGGACAGGTTCAGGCAGTTAGCCCAGGACAAGTTGCTGCTGGCAACTGCTTCCCTGGTTGCAAGTCCTTTAGAGTTTAGGAGCTGTGTGCCTTGGGACAAGAAGAAGGGAAAGGGAAAGGCTCAGGCGTGCTCCCAGGAGGGAGAGTGTGCCTGTTTTCTTCCTTGTAAAATCCAGTTTTAGCAAGAGCCCTGCTTAGTCACTTTAACCAGAACCACCCACCTTCAGTATCTGATCAGGCTCCTCATCTTCCACCATCACTCAGGTGATCTGATCACCCTGGCTTGTCTTCACCAAGAATCCTATTAGTTTGGTTTAGTCAGAATCTCCCTTATGCTTGATGTTTCCTCTTGGTAACTTTCCATGTACTGATCCCCCACCCTACTTCTTGATTATAAATTTCCACTTGCCCCTGCTATATTGGGAATTGAGCCCAATCTCTTTCCCCTACTGCAGTGGTCCTTATATCTATGATGATAGCCCCTTCTCCCTTGAATAAAATCTTCTTTACCATGCTTTAACAAATGTCATTGACTTTTTTTCCTTTAACAACATACATGGATAAATATCACTAAAGTATCATAGTGCTAATTACATAAGTATTGCCAGTTACTTCCTATGTGTAAGCAAGTGTCTCTGGGAATCTTCATTTGCCTTTCCAGAGCATTTATTGCTTAGGAAAAATTTACTTATAGATGCATATGTTAGTTCTGATTCTGTCTTAGTATTTGTTAGTAGTTGTTTCTTTAATGAAGAGTAGTTGTGTCATGACATTGGGATTTGTTCACCTCGACTTCTTTCTAATTTTTTAAAAAATATATCTTTATTGATTTCAGAGAGAGGAAGGAAGAAGGAGAGAGAGAGATAGAAACATGAATGATGAGAGAGTTGTCATTGATTGGCTGCCTCCTGCACACCCCCCGACTGGGGATCAACCCACAACCCCGGGCATGTGCCCTGACCAGGAATTGAATCTCGGACTCCTGGATCCTAGGTCGATGTTGACCCGCTGAGCCACATCCGGCTGGGCTCGACTTCCTTTCTAAATCATACTAACAGGACTTTGGATAAATCATCAGATACCTGGGAGCCCAATTTTGTAAATCTACCCTCTATTCCATTAAATCTGGAGAAGTGCCATTAAGATAAATCTCTTAGTTAGATATTACCATGCCTGCAAGGTAGTATTACAACTAACATCATAAAAATCCTTACCTTGTCTAGATTCTTTTCACATTTGCAACTGTAAGTTCTTTAACACCTTAATGGTCTGAAGAATTAATGCAACATCAGAGAAATTTAATTTCATGTTACCTGTAAGGTATAGTCATACTGGGCCACACACATTTGCCAGCAGGCTCCCTCCCACTCTGGGTCTTTGTACTTGCTGTTCTCTCTGTATAGAAGTTAGTCACGTAGCTTACAATTGTTCTTTGTTTAGGACTTTGCTCGAATGTCAGCAAAGCCTTCCCTGGCCACTCTTGCTTCTAAGCTTTCCTTCCTCCAACATGTCTCCTCTCCCTTCCCTGTTTTATTTTTCTTTATGACATTTATCACTACCTGAANCTCCAACATGTCTTCTCTCCCTTCCCTGTTTTATTTTTCTTTATGACATTTATCACTACCTGAAATATCATGTATTTTACTGATTTATTTGTTATTATTTGTAGCCTTCCTTTAGAGTATAAGCCTCATTAGGTCAGCAATTTTTGTCATTTTGCTCTCTGCCCAGAATAGTGACTAGTACATAATAGACGCTCAGTAAATATTTATTGAATGAATCAATGAATGAACTCATTAATCTTCATACCATTTCTCTCAAGTTATAATAAATGCAGAAACTGGAGTAGTAAGTTTCTGACACCTAGCCTAAGGAAACTTGTGTTTGGGATGAGCTTGGTTTCCTAAATTAGTTTCAATTTTTTCTCCTTAGTGTATACTTCTAATTAAAAAACCTACAATACTCCCCCCGAAAGGTAACTATATGAGGTGTCAATTAACTTGATTATGGTAATCATTTCCTAATGTATACATATATCAAATCTTAAGGTTGTATATTTTAAATATATATAATTTTGTCAATTATACCTAAATTAAGCTGGAAAAAAATTAAAATCTGTAACACTAATAGTTCATTTTTCAAATCTATCAATATCTCTTCTGCTATAACTTATTAGGGATTTCCAAAACAGATCTTTGGATATTATTTATATAATTTTTACAGGTTTTTTTTTTGTTGTTGTTAATTCTCTCCTGAGGATATACTTTTTCCATGAATTTTTGGAGAAAGTGGAAGGGAGGAAGGAAGGGGGAGAGAGAGAGAAACATCAGTGTGAGCAACACACATCCATCGGTTGCCTCCCACATGTGCTCCAACCGGGTCAAGGATAGACCTGCAACTCAGGTATGTGCCCTTGACCAGGAACGAACCCACAACCCTTTGGTCCACAGGCAACACTCTAACCACTGAGCCACACTGGCCAGGGCTAATCTTTACAATTTTAATTAATGATGAAGACTGCAGTTCTTAAATGTGTTTGTAAATTGGTAGTTTATATGGAAATTAAAGAATTTATAAGATCCCTGGCCAGGTAGCTTAGTTGGTTAGAGCATTGCTCTGATACGCCAAGGTGTTGTGGGTTTGATCACCGGTCAGGGCACATACAAAAAGCCACCAGTGAATGCATAAATAAGTAGAACAGGCCTGGCCTGTTTGGCTCAGTGGTTAGAGTGACAGCCTGCAGATTGAAGGGTCTTGGGTTCGATTCCTGGTCAAAGGCACATACCTGGGTTGCAGGTTCAATCCTGCTCCTCAGGGCAAGTGTGGGAGGCAACCAATTGATGTGTCTCTCTCACATCTGTCTCTCCCCCTCCCTCTACTCTCTCTCTAAAAAATCAATGGAAAAAATGTCCTTGGGTGATGATAAACAGCAACAAAAAGTAGAACAAAAAATTGATGTTTCTCCCTTCCCCTCCCTTTCTCAAAATCAGTAAGTAGCCCTAGCCAGTGGGGCTCTGCTGGGCATCATCCCATCCACATTTCAATTCCCCGCCAGGGCACATGCCCGGTTCAGGGCTCAATCCTTGGTAGGAGGCGTGCAGGAGGCAGCCGATTGATGTTTTGCTCTCACACTGATGTTTCTTTCTCATTCTCCCTTTCTTTCTCTCTCTCAAAATCAATAAAAATATTTAAAAAAGAAAAATCAATAAATAAAAATTTTGAAAAGAATTAATGATAAAACTCAATTAGGTTAATAAGAATGTAAAAGACATAATGGTTTAGGTTAATTTAAGATTTTGATAATTTTCTAAAATTTGAACTATAAAATATAAAACGTCAAAGGTATTTATTTGACTAGTAATTTTAGGGACCTTGTCATTTGGTCAGTATGGGCTTCAGGATAATCAAAGAATAATTAACAGAAGAAGAAAGACTAAATTACTAGTTCAGTTTTGTTTTTAAGATAGAAAATTGAAAAATTATTGTGTTTTTCTTATTTGTCAAAGCTAAATCACTTTCATTTGTATTTGTAGGCAAAATTGTCAACATTACAGACTAGTAATCTGCCTTCTTCACAGGTAAGAAATCTTTTTTAAATCTAAGTGCCAGGGTTTCAAGTAAGTTACAGTCAGTTTAGATTATATGAGGCCCTTAAAGAATTCCACATGAAATCTATCCTTTAGAACTCTGAAGTGAAAAGTATATTTATTTTGTGTTTATTTAAGTCTGAAGTACGCCTCAGAGTTTATTTACTAAATTATGCTCTGAAATACAGATTATCTCCCTCTCTTTACCAGTAGATTTATTATTAGTTATATATTTTCAAAATTACAAGTTGTTTTTAAGTTTATACATACAATATGTAGTAGATTGGTGACCAGCTTATTTTCTTTTCTTAGAGATCATCTTGGTGGCCCTTCGAGATGTCTCCTGGTACATTAACCTTTGCTATCATATGGCCTTTTATTGCCCAATGGTTGGTGCATTTATATTATCAAAGAAGGAGAAGGTAATACTATACTTTTATAATTCAAAGTGGTATATGGACTCTTACAATAGAGCCTTCAGCTGCAGTTAAAAGGACAGGTCCATTTCATAGATACATGGTCTTACTGAATATTCTATACTGATCCTGAGACTGAAATTACTTTGGAGGTGATATTTGATGGGTCTCTAGGTACTTGTTACACTTAAAAATGTTTCACTTGAGCCCAGCCAGCATGGCTCAGCGGTTGAGCATCGACCTATGATCCAGGAGATCGAGGTTCGATTCCTGGTCAGGGCACATGCCCGGGTTGCGGGCTTGATCCCCAGTGGGGAGCATGTAGGAGGCAGCTGATCAATGCCTCTCTCTTCATTGATGTTTCTATCTCTCTCTCTCCCTCTCCCTTCCTCTCTCTGAAATCAATAAAGATACATTTAAAAAAAATTTTTTTTTTCACTTGAGAGCATCTGGTGGATTTGTGCACCTTTGATTTAAGCAACAATAAGAGAATGATTATAGGCTTAGTTTTATGGTTTATGAAGAAACACTGTTCTTAAAGTCTGATGTTTATTTTGGGCCCTTTGTTAATAGATAGGTAAAAAAAAAAAAAAATGCCTGCATGCTCTCTGTATCTTTGAAATATAGACATTGACTTTTTAGAAAATGTTCAGCTTTTATGTTTTAATGAACATTCTTTAGAAGTAGGGGTTATACTTATTTGAGGGCCAGAAATTTCAGCCTGGGAAGCTAGGAGGTAACTCAAGTAAGTCTGAGAATAATAGATTGCAAACCTTGAAAGTGCTCTGAGATTGTCTAGGTTAGAAACACCTGAGTCCAAAACTCTTGGGTTCACCCTAGCCAGTTTGACTCAGTGGTTAGAGCATCGGCCCAAAGACTCAAGGGTCCCGGTTTTGATTCTCTCCAGGGGCACGTACCTCAGTTGCAGGCTCGGTCCCTGGCCCCAGTCGGGGCGCATGTGGGAGGCAAACAATTGATGTATCTGTCTTGCATCGATGTTTCTCTCTCTCTTTCCCTTCCAGTCTCTCTGAGAGCAATGGAAGAAAGATCCTCAGGTGAGGATTAAAAAAAAAATTAAATTAAAATCAAAACAAAACCAAAACTCTTGGGTTCAAGAAAACCCTTAAAGCACTCTTTTGGGTACTATGTAAACTGAGTTACTTTCCATGGATGGGCCCATAGGCAATTGTTTACCTCACTGATGGTCTCACTGATTATGTTTTTTGTATTTTGTCACCATTTCCCATTAAGTGACAACAGACGGGAAAAAGAAATAGGATATTTGATAATAAGATTTTAAGTGCTCTCTTAAATATATGCAGTAGAAACACATGTTAAAAATCTGCGGGTTTAAATAATAATGGGTGTGTTGTTCCTCTACCAAAGAACCCAAGTTTCTAATTATTACATTCGATAACAAAAACAAAAAGCAATCATTTGCCCTTCTCTGATGTAGAAGGGATTATCAGCACACTAGGGTAAATGTTCGTGATGGTATTTTACAGTAGAGAAACTGAAATGCATAACGACACTTGGGTGAGTTGTTTCAGCCTTTCTTGTTCTCTGCTTTATGTTCATAAATCAACTAAAGTTTTTTGATACATTAATGTCTTGGAATATACCTGCCCACTTGAAAAACTTTAGTAGGATTTCAGAAGCATAATTTGCTTTCTCAATATTGTTAACTCCCTTCCTAGTCCTCTTATGTATGTGTCATTTCAGCTCTTAAGATATAGACCTTAATTTAAATCCTTTTTTCACATATTTTATATTTCTCCTATAGTAGTTGACTTTAGTGCTATACCATGTTTTAAATTGATTTCCCTGATAACATTATTACATTTCAACATGTAATAATTCAACATGTAGTAATTTAAGCTGCAGGGAATGGTGGCACTAAAGCCAGGTGTTTACATATTTTGCAATGCATTTCAAAGTTCACTTTCATGTTTCCCATGCAGAAAGTGGGGAGTTGGAGGGCAGAGAAATTGGGCATAAGACAAAAAACTTACTTTAGTTAATATTTGCCCGAAGAGTCATAGGTTTGATTCCTGGTCAAAAGCATGTACCTGGGTTGCAGGTTCGTTCCCGGCCCCAGTCAGGGTGCATTCAGGAGGCAACCAATCGATGTGTCTGTCTCACATCGATGTTTCTCTCTCTCTTCCTCTCCCCTTCCCTTTTACTCTCTCTAAAATCAATGGAAAAAATATCCTCGGGTAAAGATTTAAAAAAAAAAATAATAGTAATAATTTTTTTCCAAGGTTGAAGCATCTTATCACTTTATTAAAAACTGAAAAAGCAAACTATACTTTGCTTCAGCAGTCACCCAAAGTAGCAGTTTTCTAAAATTATTTAAAAAAAATATTTCTTACCAGTTAGAAGTATACACCGTTTCTCCTATGTATCCCTTTCAGTTGTTTAGAGATGTCTCTGAATGAAGAAATTCTTCCCTATTTTTAATTTTCTACTTTGTTTTTATTGAATCTTTATCAAGTTTTTCATTGCATGGTAGGTTTTAGCCCTCCTAAATTGCAAGTTATATAGCACTGCTTGACTGCATTTGGATAACATATAGTATTTTTATGTATTATTTGCATATATATGTGTAAATAACAAATTAACTGGGCTTAAAGATAGAGCCATGTTGGATTTGGAAATAAGTTTTGGCTTGGGGGGATTTAGGCAAGGTTTAATCTGGCAGGCTTTAACAGTTTTTAATCTGACATTACAGGAATAAAGATTAGAGAGCAGTGTGTATGGTTTGGAGAGGATAGGTCTGTTTTGGAGCGGAAGAGGAAGATCTAGAAATCCTGTTAGGATGGGAAAAGTGTGGGCAGGAGAAGATTTGCCCTACCCATAATAGGGACCATCCGCACCTCATTCCCTAGCACAGTGTGTGGCATGTAGTAGGCTTTCTTTTCTTTCTTTTTTTAAAAAAATATATCTTTATTGATTTCAGAGAGAGATAGAAACGTCAATGATGAGAGAGTTGTCACTGATCTGTTGCCTCCTGCACCCCCCTACTGGGGATCAAGCCCACAACCCGGGCATGTGCCCTGACCAGGAATCAAACTGTGATCTCCTGGATCCTAGGTCGATGCTCAACTGCTGAGCCACGCCCAGCTGGGCATGTACAGCAGTACCTCGGTTTTGGAACGTCTCCATTGACGAACATTTCGTTTTACAAATGCTGTAAACCTGGAAGTAAATGCTTCGGTTTTCGAACATGTCTCGGAAGTCGAACATGCCACACGGCTTCTACTGAGTGCAAGATCCTGAGGCCTAGCTGATCCCTCGGTTTTTGAACGTTTCAGAACTCGAGTGGTCTTCCTGAATGGATTACATTAGAAAACTGAGGTACCACTGTAGTAGGCTTTCAATAACTGTGTGCTGAATGCATGGCCGAATGCTCACTATTGGCAGCATGGCAAAGTGAAGTGTCATAGGACATGGAAAAACTTTCATTTTATCTAATAATGCATAGATAAACACATATGTATGGAACATAATAGCTTTTTTTTTTTAATCCTCACTTGAGGACATTTTCTCCATTGATTTCTAGAGAGAGTGGAGGGAGGGACAAGGGGGGAAGAGAGAGAGAAAGAGGGAGAGAGAGAAACATCGATGTGAGACAGACACATCAGTTGGTTGCCTCCTGCCTGTGCCCAGACCAGGGTGGGGAACCTGCAACCGAGGTACGTGCCCTTGATCAGGAATTGGACCCGGGACCCTTCCATCTGCAGGCTGATGCTCTAACCACCAAGCAAAACCAGCCAGTTCTGGCCATTATTATTATTATTATTATTTTTTACATTAACAGTAATACTTAAGGTCCACTGCTCGATTTTTTTTTCCAGTATAGAAGAATGTAAATTTAAAAGTAAAAGAGATTTCTCACTTCACTCTGCAGTGGATTAGAAAAACCTTCTTTTTCTCTGTGATATGAAGAAAAACACTTGCAGACCTGTTCAACAATTGTCCATTAGTCTCCTGTAGTGCCACCTCTCCCCAGTTACCCAACCTCATAATTTTGCTATTAAAATTATCCATGAGTGGGGTGAAGGGGGATGGGTGGAAGTGGAAGAGGGCATAGAGGGGATAAGAGGTGATAGAAAAAATAAAATACAATTAGAATGTGAAAAAAAGCTGAGAAAGGGAAAATAATAATAAATTATCCATGAGTTAAATACGAAAAGCAGACCTGTTAAGTCCCAATGGCTACTCTAAATGTATTACTTTTTCTATTTTTCTTATCAGTCTGCCCAGATTCATAAATTGGCTGTCATATAGTTTCCTTGGAAATACTGAGCTTTCAGTAGAGAGGTAGTCATAAAAACTGGGTAGAGGTGAGCCCTCCTTGGGGCATGCTCACGCAAATCTCCTTTTTGAGTGAATTTTCTTTATCTTAAACTCTAAGGGTCCCCACAAGACTTGCAACCAGGGGACCAATGGGTAGTGGCATCTCGTTCCGGGCTAACCCCCTAAACCTGTCCTCAAGGCCCCCTTTTCTCTGACTTTTCAATGAGCCAATAGCAGCCCCACCTTGGCTTATTTCTGCCCTTGTGACTCTTACTGCTCAGTGAGCCAAAGCAGCCCTGCCTAGGCTCTCTTTTGTTGCTTCTTCTATCTTAATCCCTTCCTCGTATCACTGCCCCCAGCTTTAGTAAACTACTCTCAAAATAAAAAACATCCAAAACTGGGTAGGGATGGGGTGGATCTCAGGAGAAACATTCTTCAAATGGAGTGTGGTGAAGATGGTACTGGCCCAAAAAGGCAGGCCCATGCTTCTTAGGAAGAAGAATAATCTCAGCAGTACAGCCAGAGTAGAGTTCAGTGGACTAGGGCAAAGGCAGAATTTTATTCCTGTTCCTTTATTTGTTGCTTTTTGTAATTTTTCTTCCCTTATCACATCATATCCTACATTTTGTAAGTTAATTTTTAAAAAAGGGAGAAACAGATCTCATTAAGAGGCTGAAAACATTCTAAAGTTCTGAAGACAGTGCTAGTGATTTATATCTATATTCTATTTCCCTGTCGTAATAGAATAATGTTGAAGATTAGGGTTTATAGACCCAAGTTGTATAAACCTGCAGAGGACTTTGTGTAGTAAACTGCTTCACATAGATTCTTGATAAATGTTGCTAACTGTTCTGGCACCTTCCAGTTAATATTTCTGCTAAAACCTCACTCAGGCAGTGAGTCTTTAAAACCACCTACAGTTTTATTCCTCCAGGGGCCTTTTTTCTTTATGCAGTGAGTTATGTGAAAATTGATCTGATTATTTAAAATGTTACTCCTGCCAAAGGGGGATCGCATAAGAGTATTTCCACACAGGAGAAGAATGAATCTGTACTGAGACAGTTTCAGCCGTTTTGGCATCTTGAGTGCTGGGAGGGTGCAGAGATTTTACAGCTCGGGAAACCTTTCCCAGAACTCAGATCACATGTGATTGTTGCGTCTTGTGCAAACAAGCCCACCATTCTCCTATAGCTCATTCACTCTGCTATAATTAAAACCATCACACTATGCATATCTGAATTGTTGGTTTATGTCTCCCCACCGGCCTCAATTAAACCAAGAAGTCTTTTGAGGGCTGGGATCCTGCCTCATTTATGTGTAAATCCCCAGTGTGTGGCACAATGCCTGAAAAGTAACAGATATATATGTTGGTTAAATGAATAGTCCAGATTGTACATCTGTCAACTTTTTGTAATTTTATTAAGCTTTTTGTTTCACAGCTTTTCCATTTTGATAAACTATGAAGTAATTTTTAAAAATCTGAATTATAATAGCCAACTAGAAAAAGGATGGGAATTTAGAAGCTATGAGGAGGAATGTACATTTAAATGATTTATTATAAGCCATTTGCTAATGTCAGCACTTGCAATTAAGTTTTTTCTATCAAGCTATAAGTGACATGAAGTAATTTCATACGGACCATTTGTGATTTTATGGCTTTATTTAGGATTTGAATGTTATGATTATGTTAGAAAATTATTTGGCATGGGATGTGTTTCATATTCAGGTTGCATTTTTATTCATAGGAAATTGGTTTTTACTTTCTTTTTAAAGAAAACGGAACTGAAGAAAATTTTATTTCAACCAAGAAGACTACTGGGCCTGGATGACCTTGGAATGAAATGGATTGTGGAGCTCACAAGAAAATCCTAGTTTGTGATTATTACATTTCTTATTGTTGTCCAATAGTTTGGTTTGTGTACATATATACATATATATATTTTGCACTACACAAATGATAACATTTTAAAGACTAACGTTGCTGATACTTGAATAATCAATCTCAACTAGGTTGTAAGTAGCACACATAGATTTACCCTACCCTTGAACTTGAAGGACATTAAATTATTAATTATTGCTTGGTAACATGTTTACCTGATTATCTCCCATAGAGAAATATAAGCTGCTTAGGTACAGTTGTGACAATGAGATCAGATTTATAACTGGGTATTTTTAATTTTCTAAATTAAATATGAGAAAGAATGCAAATCAGGAGTGAATTTCAAATTAGATTATATTGACTTTCTATCTTAGTCACTGAATTGCTGTTTCAAGGAGTAGAAAACTTCTATAATCTTTGATGGGTGTTCACAGCTCTGACTTTAGCGTTCAAACAACATTATTATAAACTAGAGCCCATTTAACAGGCTTAGTTTTTACAAATGACTCACAGAATAGACATAACCTGCTGATGGAAAAGGTGAAAAATGGGCTTAAAATAGGCTTGAAAGTTTATTCTGAGCCTGTAGATCATTAATAAGATTTTTATTAAATCCTATACATTTATTCCTTTGTAATCATTTGTCTTTTACTGAGGATATCTTGTTTCTGCTTCATCAGGTGCTTTGAAATATAAAATGAAAAAACTTATTTATACTGTTTTTACAAAGGTCACAAAGGATACACATGAAAATTACTTTCCTGCAACTGGTAAACTACACAGCGTGGATTCTTAACCTCTTAGTGCCTCAGTTTTTCCTTCGGGGTATATGTAATGTTTGAGAAGTACCTATATTAAAAGGATTTTCAAGCTAGCAGGCTATGTGCTTCCATATGAATAAGGCATACCCAATTAATGTCAGTTTAAGTTTTTCTCCCCTACCTCCCACATTTAAACTAAAAAGAAGACTATAATTTAGATCCTTGAAGGCTCCTTGGAATTATTTTTCCTGTATACCTTCTCATTTAGATGTACTTTGTACTTTAAAGGTATCTCTGATTCAAAGGCTTATGTAGCAAATGTTTTAAATATTCATAGTGTACTGGATTTAGCATCATGTGTTCAGAGTGTTTGCAGTAAGAGAGAAAGTAATCCATCTCTTTTAAGGAGGGTGGTTCTTTGTTTACCTGAAGAAAAATGTACAAAAAGGCACTGTTTTCCCTTATTTTTTCCTTTTATGTAACTTTGTTTTTTTAATCCTCACCTGAAGATATTTTTTCCATTGATTATTAGAGATAGTGGAGGGGGGAGGAGAGAGAGAGAGAGAGGGAGGGAGAAAGATCGATTGGTTGCCTCTTGTACACACCCAAACCCAGACCAAATCCCCCACCTAGGTATGTGCCCTG